GTAGTTTCTCGCACGTTACTCCCTGTTATTAAGTCATAGTTGCCCTAAGTTCGACGGTTGAGCGTAGGGTTAACACCGGATAAAACAAAAGAACCAGATTTATTATATTTAGATAAAATGAAAGAACTAGATTTATTATATCTAGATAAAACGAAAGAATCTGAATTTATTGTATCTAATTTAGATTTAAAATATAAATCCAGTTCTAACCTCTAACTGTTAGTAAATATTATAAGTTTACTTTTTTTTCTAGATTGCAAGTTTATAAATTTTTGGTTGTATTTTTTTTAAAAAGTTGAAATATTATAATAAGAAAAAACTGGTTTTATTAGATAAAGATTCAAATAAATTAGATCATTAATCAAAAATGAAGCGTAAAAATAATAAAACTAAGAATTTTACTAATAAATACTATTATAAAGAAATAGAAAAATAATTTTCTACTGATAATACTTAAGAAATAAATAAGAAACTTGATAATAAAGAAATTTAAAAATTAAATAAGGAACTTGATAATAAAGAAACTTAAGAAACAGATAAAGGAATTAATGATAAAAAAGATGAAAATAAAGTTAATAATACTTTAAATTTAGTTTCAAGTACTTTAAACAAAAATTATAAAAAGGAAATATAGTATGGAAATATTTTGAGTAGTTTAAAAATAAAAAAGGTATATTTTAAGTGAAATGGTAATATTGCAGATAAAGAAATCTAAAATATATCTTAAATAAAAAAGTTTTTATTTTTAATTTTGTATTTTTATAATACTATTTTAATAGTAACCATAAATATAGTAGAGGATCGATTAGCAATTTAATTCACTATCTTATGCTATATATTCAGATAAAAATATATTTGTTGAATAATAGAATATTTATGATAATTAAAAAATAACAAGTCTGAAATGTCAAAAAAAACAAAGTATTTTTTTGATATGATATTAAATTTAGGTTTGGTAGACAGAATTTATCATATACTTCTTATTTTTAATACAATGAGAAGAATGAGTAGAAGAATCACAGAGTATAAGAAAACTTACCAGTATTATACAGAAAATTTAATATATTAAATTCTATCTAATTAAAAAAATTTGTAACATTTAGAGTACCTGTATACAAAAATCATTAAATTATGTATCGTTACAACAAAATTTCCAAAAAGGAAAAAATGCTTCTTAAGAAAGAATGTGTTACGGTTATGCAAATAGGTTGCACGATTTCTCTTTTTGGAAATTTTTGTAACGTCTCGTGATTTACTCCCGATGCAAAGCAATGGCCATGGATAGACGATTTAAAAACAATTTACGTTAGAAATTAAGCGTGCAATTGATAATTTACATGTAGACTTTTATTAAAATTACAAAACTCGTCCAATTTTTTTAAAAATTTATTTTTATTAAATTTTTTAGAAAAATAAAACAAAATAATAAATTACAACTATTTGACTAATAATTATGGTGGCGATTAGATAGATTAACAAAAGGAATTTAAGAAGATAAGATATGCGAGTGGTATCTAATCCCTTATAATAAAGGTACCAAATAATTAATTTATCCCAAAGATATGCGAGTCGTATCTGACCTCTTTTTATTATCGTTTCTCCAACAAGGAACGAGTAGTATCTGATCTCTTATTTTCAAATGCGATGGGATGGATTGACCCCAAAAGTGTAGACGATATAATCCTCAATGAAATTCAAATATTTATCCCAAAGAATATGCGGAGTCGCTTCAGACCCCTTGTTGTACTTATTTCACCCGCGAGGAATATGCGAGTAGTATCTTATCCCACATTCCTCATTATTTCTCCACGAAGAATGCGAGTAGTATCTGATTCCAATTCCAATTACAAGTAAGGAGTTCCTTGTTCTTGTAACTGTGACGGACGATAGCCTCCATGAAGTTCAAATAATTTTTCGCACAAGAAATGCGAATAGTATCTGATCCTGTACTAGCGGATCTTTGCTTCTTGTCTGCGCTTCCAAAACCAGCTTGCGCTCCTCCATGTCTTGAGGCGAATATTTTATTTTCTTTGGCCTTTTCTGGGCCAGAAGGTAACGACGACGGAGTACCGCCATGTTCCTCGAGAACGACGTTTTTTGTCTCGTTTCTCATGAAGTCGATAATAATAATAAAATTTGATATAACGATTATTTGTTGACGGTTGAAAATTATTTTTTTTCTTTTAAATTTTTTTTTTTTTTTTTTTTTTTTTTTAAAAGGGAGGGGGAAATGGTCGTTCCATTGAATGTACAGTATTTGTATGTTACAAAATTGATTCAGCCCATTGCTACATTTAACAAATCTATATAAACCTAATTAGTAATTTACTCATGAAAAAATCCGCCTGCGATATGCATGCATGGCTGAGAAAATTTTTCTTTGTGATTTTAAAATTTGATCGTCAATAAATGTACATCATTGTTTATTTTAGAACGAAACAGATCTTTTTGTGCCAGTGTAAAAAAATTGGTTGGTTTTTTTGTTCGATATTCCGTCGGTAAAATGTCACGTAATGTTAAAGATAGGCCACAAAATCACACAAAATGGTCACAAAATCACAATTTTTCAGAAAATAAGATTATGGATGGTTACCTAAAGTAGTCAAGTTAAATTTTATACGAATAGAGCATGTGAATTTGATCAATTAACTGTTATTTTGGGTAATTTATTACACTTGTACACTTAGATTGTCAAAAAAATTTTTTAACGGAGGGTCTCGAGGACATTTTGCTCATATAGGCGCTTTGCAGTAGAAAGGAAGGAAACTACCAAAAAAATTTTTTTTACTTTATAAACTAAATATGATGTTTTATAATAAAATAAATTCAGAAGTAACATCAACACAAAAAAAAAATTTTCTCTACTGTAAAGCATCCATATTTCAATATATATCATTAGAATTATAATACCTATTTTTAATTTATTATTGATATTTTTATTTAATTATAAAATTAACTAATTAATAAATTTATGATAATACATATATTTAAACTTATAGTTTATAATATTACAAAATTATTAGAAATATATAGTTAATTAGTTAAATATTCTAAAGAAATAACATTTATTAAATTAATATTTTAAATAATAAAAAAAATCTAAATAATATAATATGATTTACATTTTTTTTTTTTTTTTTTTAAATATATTTATTTAACTAATTAGTAAATTTTCTTTTATTATGCAAATTTTAAGTATATTGATATATTTGATAGAAATTAAATCTAATATATAAAACTGTTTTTTATAATCCTTCTAAGTATTAATTATAATATTATTAAGTATATTTTTATAGCTTTCTAATATATTTTTATTATATTAATATTTTAGATAATATCTTCAAATTCTTTAATAATTTCTTATAATTATAATTTCTAATTATAAAAGAGTTCTTAAAAACCTAAAATAATAATATACAGTTTATAAGATTACTTGTCTAAATTCATTTTAAATTTAGCAAAATGTCTAAACCTTTAGTTTTACTAATTTTTATTAAAGTTTTAATATAATTTACCTTTTTATAAACTTTAATATAATTTAACTTTTATAGATTTTTTTAATAATATTTTAATATAATATTATCAAATTTATATTTTACTATTTAGACAACTTATAAAATCCTTTAGTAATATTAAATATAATTAATAAATAAAAATTCTTATTTTTATTATAAAAGCTTTTAATTCTAAAATTATAAATTATATTCTTATAAAATTAATTTTATTCTATTAAGTTTTCATAAAAAAATTCATTAAATAAATATTATAATTTAATTTGACCATTAAAAATAATATTATATAATAATTAATTATTTATTATTAGTATTAAATTACTTTAAAAATATTATTAATTAATTTAATATGATTTAAAGATTATTAAACGTAAATATGATAATTATATCTAAATGTATTTTTTTAAATTTATATAATACAAGTTTTAATTTAATAAAATTATTTTTTAAAATATAATATTAATAATATTAATAATTATAAGTTATTATACAATTAATTTTTGTTATAATAAATTGTTTATCTAATTTTTATTATAAAAAAATTTATTATTCTAAAATAAATTATTATGTATTTATAACAAATAATTCATTATAATAATAATATTATCCTATCAGACTAATCAGAATAATCTAGAAAATATTTGATAATAAATTAAAAAAATTTATATTTTTATTATTTTTTATTTTTTTTAGTTTTTTTTAAGATCAGCTTTCTTTCTTTAAACCTTGAAAATAAATTAGTAAATCAATTCTTTTTTTCTTAAAATATATAAATTTTTTGAAAATATTCATTTATAATTTTTTTTCTTTTTAGAACTAGTTCTTCTTTAAATCTTAAGAACTAATTATAAGTTGATTTCTTTTAAATAAGTATTTTTAAAATATTTATTAATATTTTTCTTTTTTTTTAAAAAAAAAAAACTAGCTCTTCTTTAGATCTTAAAAATTAATTAGTAAATTAATTCTCTTTTTTTTTAAAATAGATAGACTTTTTTAAGAATATTTATTAATGTTTTTTCTTTTTTCTTTTAGAACTTGTCTTTTTTTAGATTTTAAAAACTAATTAGTAAATTGATTCTTTTTTTTAAAGACTTTTTTGAGAATATTTACTAATATTTTTTTTTTAATTTTAGGACTGATCTTTTTTTAAATCTTGAGAACCAATCAATTAATTCATTTTCTTCTTTTTAAGATAAATAAGTTTCTTTAAAAATATTTATTAATATTTTTTTCTTTTTTTTAGAACTAATTTTTGAATTTTAAAATTAATTAATAAGTTTAATTCCTTTTTTTGAAATAAGTAGGTTTTTTTAAAATATTTTTTATTCTTTTTTATAAGACTGATTTTTTTTAAATTAATATTTATCTTTTAAAATCTTTATTATATTATTATAAATAAATTTATTAAAAAAGGATTATTATATTTATATGTTGTTAATATTACACTCAGTTTGTCAAACTTAAGATAATAATGACCTAATAATAGAAAGTAACATGTAAAAAACTACTAAGTTACTATAGAATAAATCCTATCACAATTAATCTTAGATAAGATTGCTTGTCTAAACTTATTTTAGATTTGATAAAACATCTAAACTATAGTTTCACAAATTTTTTACTAAGGATTTAATATAGTTTTACATTTTTATAAGCTTTGATATAGTTTTACCCTTTTAGAATTTTGCAGATTTTTTAATAAAGTTTTAATATAATTTTGCTAAATTTTACCTTTTTCTATTTAGATGACTTGCAAAATCTCTAGATTTTATTTAGCAACCTTAATCTTAAGTTTATAATTTAAACAAGTAAATAACTTTAATAATTATAAGAACAATAAATATGATTAACATATTGAAAAATTTTAATATGTGTAATTTAGTAAGAAATTTTTTATTGTAAAGATTATATCCTTAACAATCCTTAATCTTGAATTCTAAGTTTTTAATTTAAATTATTAAGTTATTACTGTTATTTCTGCTCCTTTTACAAGAACAATTTTCTATCCTATTTATATAAAATTACAATTATAAGAAACTATTATTTAACACTATTTTATATAAACTAATTTATAACATTAAAATAAATATACAAAATAAAATATAATTTAACTATGATAATAATTTAATAAATAATAATAATAAAATATAAGATAAAAATAAATAAAATAAAAATGTTAAAAAAGTTAAAAGTGTTAATAATGTTAACTATTTGTCAATTTTTATGATGCAGTAATTAATTTCTCATAATATCAATATATTTATAAATTTTTTTATATATTATTATATGATTTTTAATTAATAAAATTTAATATAACATATTTTAATATAGAAAATCTGTATTATATTAAAAATTTATTATATTATAAAATTTGTTATATTAAAAAATAATTATAATAAAAATAATTAATTAATAAATTAATTAATATTTTTATCATCTTAATTATATATAAACTTTATTTAAAATTGCAATTATTGATTTTAATTTTACTTTTAATTATACCAATTAAATATCACTAATATAATTAATTTTTTTTTTTGTTTTTATTTTATAAAAATTATGATTTTTAATTCTTTAATTTAATTTTTATTTATTAGATGATTAAAATTTATTTTATTATAATAATAAAAATATATAAATATTATTTATTTCTTATTTAAATTAATAATTATAATTAAAAAAAAATAATATAAATAAATAAAATATTAAATACAATTAAGATTGATAAAGTTTTAGATCCTAAACTTAAAGATTTAGTCAATAGATTAAATCTTTAAGTTTTTAGATTTAGTTTTCTAGACCTGATCTTAAATAAATTCTAATTAATCATATTTGTAAATTTGTTTATACTAGCATTTATGATATAAATTATTTTATTAAATAGATTAATTATATATATTATTTAATTATATATTTAAACATTTAATTAAAGTTGCTATTTTTATTTTAATTTTAAGTTGATTCATAATTTATTTAAATTTTAAAGCCAATTTTATTAAATTAAAAATTTTGTTTTAATTTAAAATTTGTTAATACATATATGATTGTCTAAATTTTTTATAAAATAATTTATTAATACATATATAAATTGATCAGCATAAAACTTTTTTTGTATAACTTTATATATTTATATTATATTTTATTTACATCATTATTTACTTATATAACTTAATTTTATTTTAATTTAAAATTTTGTTAATACGTATATAAATTGTCTAAATTTTTTACAAAATAGTTTGTTAATACATATATAGATTGATCAGCATAAAAATTTTTTGTATAATCTTATATATTATATTTATTTTATTTACATCATTATTTACTTATATAACTTAACTATAAATATCAATAATAATGTAAATAGTATAAATAGTAATTATATTGATTATGAAACTGAAAATAATCTAGGAGTATCTGTTTATATAAATATATATTTATATTATCTAAAAAGTTCAGTAACTCTAATATTACACATCACCTTTTAAGTTAACATAATATAATAATACTAAAAGTTAAAATAAACAGTCAGTTTTAAATTTCTAATGCATAATACTTTGGCCTATAAAAGAAAATCTGAATGAGATAAAGTAATTATTAATTGAGT